CCTTGGGCGGCCCGGGCGCGCCACCCCCCGACGACGCCAGCTCCTCGGCCTCCAGCTCCAAGATGTGCTCGTCGGCTCGCGCGAGCTCGCGCTGCTGGATCAAGCTCAAGATTTCCAGCACTGTGGGGGCAAAGCGGGAGATCAGGGGGAGCAAACCTGCGGGTATAGCGGAAAGGGGCGGGTGGGGGCATTTCTGGAGGTGCCGGGAGGGGTGAGGTTGGGAGGGATGGGAGGTAGGGTGAGGGAGGCAGCAGGAGAGAGGAAGTTGAGGGTTAGTGAGGGCGGAGGGGGGCAGTTGCCCGGCGGAGTGGAAGAGAAGAGGCCACGGCTGGGGAGGAGTGGGGGGACAGGGCCAGGACTGGGGTTGGGGCTGGAGCCATTAAGGAGGGGAAGTGGGGGCTTGGGTGTGGGAAAGAGGGCAACAGACCGGAGCAGGGAGAAGGCAGAAAGCCTGGGCAGACGGGGAAGTGGGGCTAAGGAGTTGGAGGGAAAGGGTTAGGGTGTGAGGTAAGGGGTCCAGGCCAGGGAGAGGGCGTCAAGGAGTGGGTTTGGGGGTAGGGCAGGAAAAGTGCAAAAAGGAGGCTGAGAAAGCGGGGTACTTGAGGGAAGGAACACCCCGCCAGGTCGGGGGCAGAGGATGAGCCCAGGGCGCCCGGACAGGGTGGAGGCGGGGAGGTGAGGAGCCCATGGGGTCTTTGGGGGGGGGTGGGTACAGTTCGGGGGTGACTGGGCGCTCTGAGTTCAGACCTCCCCTGAAGGAGGCGTGAGGGAAGCCAGCAGGAGGGTCCACGGCCCAGGGTTACCCCAACACCTCCACCCCCCTCCACTTCCTCCCTGGCAGAGAAACTATTTCCTGGCCAGCGCTATTTCTGCCCATCCGTTTCCAGAAGGCGGGGGCTCCAGTCACCCCCTCCTCACCTCTCTGCAGTGCCTCCCAGTCCCCAGGGAGCAAGGGCTGAAATAGCCTCCGGCCAGGAAGCAGAGGGCATGCAGGACCAGGAGGTGGGGGCGGGGTGGGGAATGGAGCCCGAGACAGGCTGGGGTAGAACCCAGTTATGGGGCAGTTTGGAGACAGGTTGGGATGAAGATAAAGTTTCAGAGATGGGACCAGAGATGAGGAGGGGGATGAAGACCGGAGCTGGATGGCTGGGTAAGGATTAGGGTAGTTTGGGGTTGAGCTCTGTAGAGAGGAGCGGGACAGGGTTAAGAGGGACATCTGGGGGGGGCCTGGCTAGAGAGGTGTGGGTGGGGCTGGCTGTGGGTGACAGCTGAGGGGGAGAGAGGGCATGAATTTGAAGTCTGGACTTGTGTTGCTGTTGGGACTGTGGAGGAGGTGAAGATGGGGACGCGGATGAGGGGGAGCTAGGAGGGGTTGGGTGGGGATTGAAATTGGGGGTTTAGAGCAGGTGTTAGGAGAGGTGGAAGGGGGCGGGGTGAAGCTGCACAGGATGACGGGTGGGCATGGGTTGCAGGTTGGCAGTTGTCGTGGTGTCGGGCAATGCCTTGAGGGTCAAGGTGGCGTTTGGAGCTGGGGGCATGTTGGGGTTCAGCATGTAGGTGGGTGTCAGGTGGCGCTGGCTGATGGGGCTGGAACAGGAATGGGAGGAACCAAAGAAAACCACTGAAGACGTCTTGGGGATAAAGGTAGACTTGGGGTGGACGTACAGGGGGGTGCTATGAGTTGGATGTGTGCCCCTTCACCCATGGAAAAGTACATGAAATCCTAGCCCCCAGGACTTCGGGTGGGACCTTCTTTGGGGGTGTCTTGACAGAGGCGATCAAGCTCAAATGGGTTCTACTCCGACGCGAGCTGTGCCCTTACCAGAGGATAAGTTGGGCGCAGAGGGGAGGTGGCTGAAGATGGGGAGGCGGAGGACCCGTGATGCTGTGTGGAGGGGAGACCAGGAAGAAGCCGCAGGTAGAGGGTGGGACCCCGGCATTTAGGATAGGGTGGACTTAGGGTTGCAGTTCAGAGTGGGTGGGAGAGGAGGGGGATTCAGGAAGGAGGAGGAGGTGGTGGAAGTTGGGATTGGGATGGGAATGGGGTACATTTTGGGGGGCAGGACGGGCGCTAGGTTGGATGTGGAGCTTGAAAGGGAGGTAGGCTGAGGCTGAGCTGGGGGCTGGGGAGGGGGAGGGGTGGAACAGGGCAGAAGAGGTCACTGCAGAAAAGGGGACCAAATGGGGTGTTCTGCTTGTCCTTGGACATGAACATGAGGTTGAAGATGGCAGGTAGAGGATGCGGCAGGTGTGGAGATGGGGCGAGGCATTGGGTGAACCACCAGCCAAGTCTGGCCTTGTCCACAGAGATGGGGAGACAGGCTGCCTGTGAACCGAGGTGGGGCCCGGGGGGCAGGGAGGGGCTGGGGTGAAACCTGGCCTGGGAGCACGGGAAGGGGCCCGTGCCACAGCCCCCCACTCACCTGACAATGGCTCCTTCACCTTCTGGGGCTCTGGGAGCTTGGGGGGGGGCTCGGGAGCCGCCTCGCCCGCAGGAACCACCCTCTCAGCCAGGGACGCACGGCGGGGCTTGGGCCCACGCCCCAGTTTCAGGAAGGCCAGTCTCCCGGCTGTGTCCCCAGCCGCCTCCTCATCGCCCTGGGCTCTGGTCCCCTGAAGCCTGGCCAGGAGGCCAAAGTCCGCGGAGCATCTGCGAATCCCGGGGGTCAGCACACGACCCAGGAAAGAGCGGGGCTGTCCGTCCCCAGGGCTGCCTGCCCGCCGGCCAGGGGACCAGCCCAGCCGGAAGGGGGCCAGACCCGCCAGCTTCTCCAGCGTGGCCCGGCGCCGACAGGTCGTTCCATTGGGCAGCGTCCCCAGCTCCCCGGTCTCTTCTTCCTCCAGCCCGGGGACTTCCTCAAAGGGGTTGCGAGAAGACCTCAAGGGCAGGGTCCCCGCCCGGGGCACCTTAGAGTCTGCCAGTCCTAGACTCTTGAGGATGGGCATTTTGACTGGCAGGGACCTGGGGGGGGGGGAAATAAAGGCTGTCCGTGGTGTTGCAGAGGGCAGTGGCAACTGTGACCATGTCCCCACGCACCGGCACTTCAGCGTACTGGCCTGAATGCTCAAGGCCCCTGGAACCCCACGATCTTCTGACGTATCTACTGTCTGACCCATTTAGATGAAGAAACTGAGTCTCAGCAGGGCAAAGGTGTGCGCCAAGGAGCCCACCACGGTTCGGGGGCAAAGCCAGGACCCATTCCCGGCCTCATCCAGCCCTGGAGGAAACAGGCTCAGAGTGGGGGGGGGGGCCCAAGGTGGCACAGCCAGCGGAGGGCGGAGACAGGGTGACCCAGGCCCCAGTGTCTAGGCAGACATGGGGTTACAGCCGGCCGCTTGCCTCATCACCCCTCTCCTACCTCTGCCCCATTCACTTCTTCCAAAGATCATCCAGTTTTCCTGTCCAGAATGATAAGCCCTGGGAGATCAGCTGTTGCCGGGGTGGGGAGGGCCTGGGGCATGATGGAGGGAGGACCCAGCCCTGCTCAGGCATCAGTGACACAATAGGGGCAGGCAGACCAGGTTGAGTCCTGCCCATTCTGGCTTGGCGCTCCCCAAGTCCCCATCTCCTCCCTCTCCACAGCCCCAGTCCCTGTCCAAGCCCCCTCCTGCTTCCCATACAGCCTCTTCCCGTCTCCTGCCTCTGGCCTTGGCTGCTCTAGCCTACCTTTGAGGACCTTTGGAGCACAAACATGCCCCTGCCCTTCTCCTAGCCTTCTGGGGCGTCCTGGGAGCCAAATCCAGGCCTGTCCCCTGGCTTACCCGCTGTTTTCCTCAGAGAACTATCCTGCTCTTCTGGGTTTGACTTGTGTGGGTCTGTCTACGTGTCTATTCTCTATGCTCCCCTCTTTCATGCCAAGTAGGCCTAGCCCTAATGCCTCCTCTTCCAGGAAGCCCTCCCTGAAGCCAAAGCTGAGTGAAGTGCTCCCTCAGGGTTTCCCCACCCAGCCCTGCCCACGTTGGGTTATCACTCTCTGGGGATGGGTCTGTGTCACCCCACTGGATGGTGAGTTCCAAGAGGGCAGAGTTGGGGCTATCCTGTCACCACGGTGTCCCCAGCGTCTAAGGCAGACACTCAGGGAATGGGCGCTAAACAGGAAGCAACGGAGGGAGGCCAGGACTTTATTCCTGAGCTGGGGAGGTGGAGGGTGATGAGTTGGGCTGGAGGTCTGTAAGGAGCAGGCCACTCGGCCCGAGCGGCAGGACCAGGGCACTCCGGCCCTCGGTGCCCAGAAGCCACCTGCCGCGGTGTCCGCTGGCCACTAGCTCTCTCTGGCTTCAGGGCGTGCCCATCCAGACAGACTCGGGCTGGCCTCCCAGACCCGAGCCACAAACAGGCTGTTTCTCATACCTTCCAGCTCTTTCTAAATGGCGAGCTCTTCTTACCTGCAGCTGCTGTTCGTGCCCTGGTCTCCCTGCCTGTCTGTCTGGCTCTAAATGCCACCTACTTTTCCACAGCACAGCTACGCTGCCGGCGCCTGTCACTTAACAACATGGGTCAACACAGGGTCCATAGAGGGCAGTGGCCCCTTGATCCAGCCTTGCGGCTCCGGCTGGGTTTGTGGCGTCACAAGAATGGAATCGCCCAAGGATGTGTTTCTCAGAGTATGTTCCCGTAGGCGTGGGTCAGACCTGTGACGCAAGACCGACGTGTGACAGATGTGTGCACACCGTCTTCCACTGCCCAACATGTAGGTTGTTTTTAGCTGGGACGGACAGCTGTGGGGGCTGGTGGGGAGGCCTGGAGAAGCCTGGTGCTCAATGGGCCTTGAGTTGGTCAGGCCATGGGCAGGATCAGCTCCTCTTGGGGTGGGAAGCCCCCCCTTTTCCCTCCCTGACTTCAGTCTCCAGAACTCAGCTGTTATTTTCAAGCTTCCAGAACCCAGAAGCTGGATCCCTGCCTCCCTCCATGTTCTCCTATCTGCCCCCCCCCAGGCAGTCACCATGACAACCTCGCCTGGAGCTCTCCTAAGTGGGGGCCATTGATACCCCACCCCACACGGTGATTTCTCTCTCATCTTCCAAATTGGCTTTCACGAGCCTCATCTCCAAAACAGCTCCATCGTTCCCCGGAACTGGCTCCAACATCCCCCCCATCTGCTCCCCACCAGTGGGGAAGTTCCAGTACCCCTCCAGTGCAAGTCAACACTAGATTTGACCTTCCCGCTCTGGGCTCCCACATCACCCTCAAACTGGGTGCAATACCCCAAGTCATTGCCAACACCCTCAGCCCAGACTGCAGCGTTTCTCCCAAGCTGACCCCAATGGCTTCTCTGGCCCAGGCGCCAGCAAGTTCCTCTGCCAAGGGACTCTGACACCTGCCCTTTGCAGCCCCTGCTCACCTCCGAGAGCCCAGTGGGTCCCTGACTCACTTCCCAGGCATCCCTCAAGCCCCCAGCCCCCCACTCTGCAGGATGTCTTGCCACCAAAACTTCCCCCTCCCGGCCCCTCCTCTTCCTCGCTGCCAGCCTTTCCCCAAAGCTCCAAATCCTCACAGCAGCCGAACCCTCCGCAGATATCATCACCCCCAGCCCCCAAGTCTGTGTTGGCGACTCACCCCCACAAATTAGGTGTCCGATCCTGACCCCAGCCAACCCCACCCCAGTTCAGGCCTGTCCGAAAGCAATCCTGTCACCCGCTTGGCCTGTTCAAGCTGACCCACTTCTTCACCCCCAACTCGGTTCCGTCTCCTGCCCCGTCTCCTCCCAACCCTGTCCCACCTGCCTGCTCCGAGACCCCATGTCTGGCGGGTCTCTGGGAAGTGGGGCAAAGCCCACAGCCTTCCAGAGCCTCATCTTCCCACTTGACTCAGAGGGTGTCGGACCCAGAGGTGGGTGCTCAGGCTTCGCTCTTCCTCAGTGGTGCTAGACCACATTGGGGCCCCAGAGGGCCCCCTGCACCCCTTGTCCTGCTCCTGCCACCTCTCAGTTCAGGTTCAGATGCTGGATTCTCTCTTTGCCCTCAGTCCCTCTGGGTCCAGGTCACTGCCTCTTTTCTGGAGGGCCCTGGTTGGTGGGGGGTTGCAGGGAAGCCAAGCCTACCCCCTCCCCCACACACTTACCTCTGTGGCCAGCACCTCTGTCCTCCTGTCCTGTCCGAGGCTACTTCGGTCAGGACTGCCGAGAGCTGGGATCTGAGGAGGGGGGGTTAGAGGAGGACAGTTTCCTGTCAGGAAACCCCTCCCTCTCTGGGGCCAGGGGCGGGAAGGACTCCTATCTGTCTGCCCTTTTAGGCCCGGCTGCGGTTGACTGGGGAAGACAGGAGGCTGCAGTCCAGCCTCCACCCTCTCCCCGCCCCAGGCCGGAATCGGCCCCCCTGCCTGTTCTTCACGCCTCCCAAGGTGCCAACACCATCCCGGGGACACTCCCAGCCCCCTCTCGCCCTGGCAACCCCTGCTCTCCCTGAGGACAGTCTGCCTTCTGGACAAGCTCCAGGAAGAATGGGGCAGAGGTGACACAGGTAGTGGCCGGCCCAGGGCTCTGCATGGCTGACCCGTCATCCTGGCCGCAGCTCCGTCCGCTCCCCAGGAGACACCCCGACTCTCTCTCTAGGGATGCGGCCCTGTTTGTCAACTCCTTCATGGCTCGCCCAGCTCTGACCGTATGGATTCCCATCTCTGCCAAGTGTTGCCCCAGCAGACTCACGGGGCCTGCGCTTGGTGCCTGTGTGCGCTCAGTGGAGATTTGTTAACTGGATGTACAAATGGGGAGCGATCTGTCAGAGGCTCAGAAGTTGGGGCTGGGGTGGCTGTTGCGCTGGGTCGGGTTGACTGTGAACGGCTTGGGATTGGGGTAGCGTTGGATCTTAGCTTCGGGTGGCCTTTCAGGCTGCTTTAGGAGACTCTTTAGGGGCTCAGGCACTTTGCGAAAGCAAAGTCGGGGTTGCCGTGGGGATGCGATCAGCATCCAGACCGGTTCCTGGGCTTGGGGCTCCCTCCTCCTGTGTCCCCACGGTGAGGGCTCCACACACGTCAGCTACAAGTACATTAGGGGTTAAGAGTCAAAGGTCTGGGGATCTCAGTTCAAGGACTGGCTTCCCCAGACAATGGGCTGTGGGGGGAGGGGACCCCGGGTGGGGGAGGACCAGCACTGCCTCCCCAGTCTGCTGTGAAGATTTTTGTCGTCAGTGCGCAGCAGTGCTGAAAACAAGTGACCTGTTAGGAACTGTGTCCACTGTGGGACCTTCCCCTGTTTTTTATTTCATGTTTTATTGACCTATTGTGCACAAGCCATCAAATTTACCCTGTTAAAAAGTGTACAGTTCGGTGGTTTTTAGTATAGTCACAGGTTTCAGCCACCAGCACCAATATCTAATTTGAAAACGCTTTCATCACCCCAAAGGAAATCCTGGTTGTCCATAAATAATCTCTCTCCACTTCTCTTTCCCAGTCCCTGGCAGCCACAAATCTAGGACGTTACCTGTTCTGGACAGTCTATATAAATGCAGTCCTACGGTAAGTGTATAGTCAGTGGTCTTTGGTCTTGGGCTTCGTTTAGTTTTCGCTGTTCATCCATGTATGTGGTAGCCTTGCCCACCCTCCAAGCTTATGGCCCCCATCTGGGAAATGGGGTGGGGCTAGTACCCAGTGGGGGGAGCCCGGTGGGCAGCCAGGTGTGTGCACAGAGGAGATTTGCTGCCCCCGTGTGGTGAGCCAGACTGCGGCTCTCAGCACCAAGGATGGGAAGGTGTAGGGGTGACTCAGCGCGGGTCCCATCCCCTTCCCGAGACTCCACCCTTCACCCTGCCGTGCCCTTGGGTTGCAGATCTTCTAGAACTCCATCCTGAACTCCTCCTTCTCTGCCTCCCACTACCCCTGAGGCTTCTTGAGGTTCATTTGCTGAATAATAAAGTGTCATCCATTTAGGAGGTTCTAATCTGTTCCCATGTGAAGTGCTTGCGTTATGCAGTCTCATTAATTTGTTCCAAGCTGAGGTTGATGCTGTTGCTGTTCAGTAACAGAAAGTGGAGTGGTTAGGAGCCCAGTTCTAGAGTTTGGGGTTAGGAGCCTAGTTCTAGAGTTTGGAGACCCTGAGTTCTCAGCCCCACGGTTATCAGGTTATCAGCTGGTTATCAGCTACGTGGTCTCTCCTGTATGGGAAAGACTATTGCTAGCCGCAAGGCAGAGCCCCACACAAAGGAAACCTGTGTGAAGCTGTATAGTATCAGCTAGTGATAAACGGGTGAATGTTTAACACCAGTCTCTGCAGGACAGAGGTGGGAGTTTTGATTTGTAACATTTGCCTATTTCATGGTGCAAATATTCCCACCATGGCTAATTTCAAGCTACCAATAAGTCCTCACTGAAATGTTTTTGAAGAGAAGCAGAGTAGCCATTATATAGTAGTTTCACTATGTAAATACCATAGATGTCAATAACTTCAGGACCACAGATAATAGAAAAATGCAATAAAATAGGAGGTGATGAGTATTTAATACTTTTGCTTAAATATAATTTAATTGTATGATTGCATAATCTAATTTTTAATAATGACAGTGTTTAACAACCAGTTTTAAAATCCCTGACATTTTAAGAATCGCTCACTTTGGCCAGCTCCAGCACAAGGCTCTGATCTTCCACCCATTTTTCAGAAAGGGAAACTGAGGCTCAGGAAGAGGCGCAGGGCAGGGCTGGGTGATCCTGGGGCCAGGAATAAGCAGCCCCTCCTCCTGTCATCCCATCCTGGTCTAGAGGGCATGGGCAGCCCCCCTGGCACTGTGTGACCTCAGAGAAGCCCTGGCCTTCTCTGGTCTCCTTTTGTCCATCCTGTGGACACCTGCACAGGATTCCTTTGTACCTGCTTTAGCTCTGCCAGGGAGGTAAGATTCAGGTCCTCCCCCTCACTTTATAGACCTGGGAAGTGAGGCTTGGAAAGGGCAAGTCCTGAGTCACCCAACTCCACACAGAGAATCTTCTCAGTCCGGCTGGTGTGGAGAAGAGAGGAAACTGCAGCCCAAACTGGGGGGTCTGGAGCTTCCTGGGGGGGGGGGTGGGAAGCAGGATTGCTTTAAAGCCTGCTCGCCCTTCTGTCCTTCTGCAGAGCTCACCCAGACTTCATCCCTCCAGCAGCCCCGACCCTGTCCCCAAATTCCCCGTGCCTCTGGGGGCTTCTCTGCTTCTGTCTCTTTATCTCCATTCTCCCCCAGGTCTCTGCAGCTCTGGCTTATCTCTTTGTCTCTCTGCCTCTCCCCCGTCTCAGTCTTTGCCACTCTGTCTGTTTCCTCTCGGCCTCCCCCACTTTGTCTCTTTGTGAGTCTCTCCCTCCGCGCCTCCCGCTTTGTCTTTCTGCCTCTCCTCTGGCTCTCTTCTCCCAGCGTCTGCCTGTCTCTGTCTCTGTCTCCATCTCTTTGTATCTCCTCGTCTCGCTCTGTTTGTGTCTCTGTCTCTGCGCCTCAGTATCTCTCTCTGCGTCCCTGGCACTCTGCCTCGGCGTTCTCTCGCTTCTCCTTTCCGGTGAGTCGCCCCTCGCCTGTGAGAACATGTAACCTATCGACGCGCCCAGACCTGCCTCCGCCCCCAGAGCCCCCGGCGGGCCCGGACCTGCGC